AATTCTTAACTATTCACTATTATATTCCTTAAGTTGGTGAAGTGAAAGTCAACCCAGCTTTAAGAGTGACTTGACTTCACTTGATTCTAGCCCAGTCCCTGATCAACTTAGCAATTGCACCATGATGTTTAAATTCTCCAGGCCTCAGTTTCTTCATCTATGAAGTAGTGTCCAGTGACAATTTTTGGATGAAGAAAAACAACATAAATAAATTTCCTGGAGCATAAAATTTACTCAGTGAATATTAATTGTGCCCTCTTAGTTTATTACTTCTGGATTTTAGCTTAACTCTGTTTCAAATTCTTATAAATATACTCAATAGATCTCTTTTTTTAACACAAATTTGTTTCTGGTCCTTTCCAATATCCTTCATTTTTAAATGAAGTACTTACCTGTCATCTATTCAGGAAATAATCAGCAGATTAACTGTTCTGTGGGATCATTACATTGACATTTTATATCATCAATATGCTATTCATAACACATTATTTGTAAGGTATTGATTTAAAATCCTAATGTCCTCACACGACCAAGAGCTTGACCCTTCAACTCTAAATATGGTTGATCAGTAAGCTTTAATTAGAGTTCCCACAGAGCCCAGACAATTTGTATTCTTCCCAATATTGAGGCAATAATTGCTCTTTGCCCTATTTATTTTAGGTAACACATCTTTAAAACACTAACAGAATCCTGAAACAGTAAAGACTGTTTTGTTAAAGCAAATATTATTTGGAGTAAGAGGGAAAGATGCAGGTTTAAATTTTCCCACATCTCAAACCACAAAGAGAACAAAGATAGGATCACTATTTCAGTGAAACATTTTGTTTCCCCAGCTGTGGTTCTAGCCTTACCTTCTATTGTGAAATTTCCAGTTGCTTTTGTTTAGTCTTCCAAATACTTTGAGGATCCCACAGAAGGCAACATATATGTATCCAGGAGTATATAGAATGATGGGGGTGGGGATATAACTCAGTGGCACAAGCACCTTCCTGGCAAGCACAACGCCCTGAGTTCAATTCCTGATACAAAAAAAAAAAAATCCAACCAATAGAATGATGATGTGGCATCATCAAAATGAACTCATCTGATGGAATTCTAGGGTAATTTAACATTCAAAGTTGGTAAATATTATACATGAATATATATCAGACATGGTGGTGCATGCCTGTCATTCCAGCACTTAGGAGGCTGAGGCAGGAGGATTGCCATGGGTTTGAGGCCAGCCTAGGCTGAATAGTGAGTTCAAAGGCAGCCTGAATTACACAGTGAGACCCTGTCTAAAAAAAACAAAACAAAACTATAATAGATTATACAGAAAACACTGTAAATCATCTCAATAGATGTATAAAAAACATTTGATAAATTTCAACACTTTTAACATCAAATGATCTTTAATAGGAAGAGAAATACCTGATAGTGGGCATTTGTAAAAAGAAGAAAATTTTCACAAACAGACTATTGGAAGCATGCGCTTAAAACCCAAGAAAAGACAAAAATATCCAGGATTATTATTTTTGTCACCATTGCCCTAGAAGTAGCACCCAACATAATCCATTGGAAAAGACATGGGAAGATATAAGGAATGGAAGCAAAGGATTTAAATTGTTAACATGCATGTAATATATGGTTATCTACAGGGAAAATGTGAAAAACTGTGTAAACCACATATTAGAAGAAAAGAGTTTAGCAAGAGAGCTAATTATACTGAAATAATTATAAAAATAAATGATACCAAATTTTACCTGGTGAAGACCTATAAAATGCTGCTGCCTTGTGTCCATTGAGATATAAGAACATGGATAAACTTGTGAGTAGCTGCTGAGAAAGCAATTGCTGTTCTATTTTGTAGGTGAGTTGACAGCATACATCAGGAGACTGAAACTAAATGATTGCACTTAATTCTATTTCTAGAAACGTGAATTAGGGACACAAAGAGATGCATAAATGAGTGCCTTCAGGGATAAGTTTATGGTAATATAATCAAAAAGGTCTGTCTAGCAAAAATGACTAAGAACACAGTAATGATATGGCAGACACTGTTGGGCCTTTATAAGCAGCCAGTCAATCTCTTCCTTCATGCTAAAAGAACCTCAGCTTTACTCACGTATGGGGCAGTCATGAGCTTCAGTGAAGATGAGCCCTCACTGGTTGGGATTTGTTAAGCTTGTCAGAATAACGCTATTTCCATTGTGTGGCCCCAAACGAGCATGTGACATGTTGCTGGCCAATGAAATATGAAAGCAAGTCAGCCTCTGGCAAAGTTTTCCTTGCTCTGATAAAGGATATTAGTCAGGGACCTTCTGTTTCCTCCTTGTCAACACTGATGTATCCACATTCTGTGTCTGGAAGGCTGCCAAAGCCTTGGAACCATGAGAGCAACCAGCCTCATGCAAGTCCATATCCTGTACTGAGAATAGAAAAGCAGGGTGGTGGGCAGAGCATGGGTCTCTGATGCTGTCATGGACCACGCGCTGCACTATTCAACTCTGAAACAAATCTACTCAAGACCTCTTGGTGTGTGAGACAAAAAGAGTCCTTATTACTAAGGCCATTTTTAATTAGCTCTTGTGTCACTTGTAGTTGAAAGAAAACTGAAACAAATAGTTCTATTATTCTTACTGTGATTATGATGAATGATACTTCCCTTAAAATCTCTATTTCAAAAGTTATTTGTAATAACTTTGATTATTAGTATTAACTTTTCTTATTTTGTTATTAATATGATTAATAATATTTAATAGCACATTAAGTCCCTAACTTAGAAATGAGTTCTATTCCAGGAAAAAGTTGTAAGGCAGATTCATTCACAAGTCTGACAAAGTGAGTCTTATACACCTCGGACACAAATATACAATATGTGTTGCTTTGCACTTCCTAGCAGTACCCCCCACACCACCACTGCTGTTCCTCTTGCTTCTGGAGATCCTGGGCTCTGAGTGAGCACTGCACTACTGGACACTGTTGTGCTGTACAGTAAGCACACAGCAGCACAACGGTGACAATGCCCAATAGATGCCATGATTTGTTTGCATCTATGAATGTTCCTAATGTGAGGTCCATTTGTATCTGTAAAAGTTCACAACTTGAATGTTTGTAAGTCAGGGACTTACTGTACAACTTCATGATATAGTGTTAAAAGTAATAAGCTATTTTTGAAGAATATTAAGTAATTTCAACAACTTCTTGATATTAGTGTCATTCCCACATATGGCTGAGGAAAATGAGATTGAGAAAGGAAAAGTGAGTGATTGGGTTCATGCCACTGGTAAATGGTACACCCAAGATTTAAATTCTGGCATCATGACTTGGCCCCCCACTCAGAACCTCTGGGTACCCCCGCCTCTCATTGTAGGATGTATGCTACAGTCCCAGTTGACTTGTATGTTATCAATATGGCACACATAGATAGACGCACACACGTGTGTGGAGCAAGGAAGCAAACACACTGAAATTTGAAAAATGGTCATTTCGGGTATTGACATTATAAGTGATTTTCATTTGATTCTTTGAACTTTTATATCTTTCCAATGTTCTAAAATAAGCAGACGTAACTTGTGTAACAAGTGTTAGACTAAATGTTACGTGAAAAAATATGTGTCAAAGGGAAGGTTTATATTTAAAAGAAAAAGACATTCTAAGTTAACTTTTTATAACACTGAAAATGGCTACTTTTAAAAATATTATATAAAATATTCAATTTAATTCAAATAAAACTGTCAAAAATGTATTCACAAACTTCATATGTTTATGTCATGTGTATAAATTGAAAAGTTTGGAAAATACATTATAAATTGCCATGTAAGTTTTTTAGACTTATTTTTTCTTGGTGAAGAACCCTTGGAAAAACTTTGATATGGCTACTTCTAAGAAATCAAATTTAATTTGGGGAAATAATATCTATCACCAGAATTAGAATAGTGCCTATATTTTCATAATAAAATATCTACTTTAAAATCTTCAGCCTACAGTAGCAGTTATAACAGCCAACAAATTGTGCCAATCACAATTCTAAAAATTTTCCATATGTTAACTCATTTAATACTCTCAACACTCTAAGGCAGGTAGTGTCATTATACTTATTTAACAATAAGGAAACAGGCACAGAGATTGCATATTTTCATCAACATTACTAAACTAGTGAATGGCAAGACCAGTGTGAGTGGCAATCTAGGTCGAGAGACTACTTATCACTCTTGTATATTTTTCCTCTTTTATTTAATTATTTTAATTTATTTGACTTGATTTGAATTTCAAAATGCAAATGACTAGGCTTCATAATCACCTAGCTTCATTAGGAACCTCTAAATAACTTTTTTGTTTGTTTGTTTCTAAGTAGTATTTTACAAAACAAAAATCTGAAGATACAAGTATGAAAGACACTTGTGACTTCAGATTTATGTAATGTGCTATCAACAGGACAGGTTGTGTCCTGAGAATTCAAAGTCCTTGTAGTAGTAACAGGGTATGATAAAATAAATGTACATTTTTATTAGAAGCCTTATGCAAAAGAACCATTGTTGAACTCCTAGTATCTTGTATGGTGAAGCTCTGCATCATTTCCAATGGTTTTTTGTTGTTGTTGTTATTACTTCTTACTGTCTTTGATTGTTTGATCAGTCTTACATTCTTACATCTGATGGACTGAGGAACTTCATTGAAGATTACAATATGTAATGTAGCAACCATTGTTACTTTCTATCATTTAGTTTTCAGGTCATGTATCATTTTTGTTGTTTTTATGTTGTTTTGATTTTGTCTTCATTGTTGTTTTGTTAGTTTTTTATCTTTAAAATTAAAATATTCTGTCT